GGCGCTTCCCAGCGAGCCAAGGTCCGGCGCGCTGAATTGGCATAGGTGCAAACGGCGCTGCTTTTGTGGGGAGCTCCTGGGGTCAATCCGCTGCCTTGCTGGATGGAGCCAGCTGCCCGCCCCCCCAGGGAGGCTGGGAACGTCCGTCAGGGCCGTCCGCCGGAGGGAGCGCACAGGGTCCGCGCCGGAGCGCGGGAGGCAGCTGCTTTGCCCCCGGCCAGGAGGAGAGGCGCGTTTGGACAAGCGGGGGATGAGCGAGCACCCTGTCTCTCGTCCCAGCCGAGTTATGAGACGCACAACGTGTCATTTTGCTTCAGCTTTTCTGGCAGATCATTTCTGTGCCAACCCACCTGCTAAACAAGCTTGTCTACACAACGACTTCGCTCCCAGTAAAAACAATAGCAGCAGTGGGATGAAATAACAGACTCACTTCATCTTTGCTTGCAATGTCTCCAAACCCAAATGAGGAGGTTTGGAACTGCCTTGAAAAATCTACCACCTCAGGGGTTGGAGAATCTCCTAGAGAGAAAGCTCCACAAAGACATTCCTGGGGGGGGGCTTTCCTTTCTCCTATGCCCCTGCTCTGCTTGCCAAGGGGGACGAATTCTGACATGCCACACCCCAGCTGAGTATTTGCATGTCTGTTAACAAGGGAGGAAGCTCTGGCTGGCCCTCAGGAAGAAGTCCTCACCCCAAGAGCTGTTCTGCAAGGGGACCGTCTGTGCTGGGAGATGGCGAGCTCAGATGCGGGGATCCTGTGGGGCTGGATTCCTGCCCTGATCTGGAGGTTGATCTCCAAGTCCCTTCCAACCTTTCCCTCTCTGCTCCTACGAAATGTGCCAAGCCTATCGTCTGAGGGCACAGCCAGCCGGCCTGCTAAGGAGCTCTCTTCCAGTCCAGAAATTATGCCCATGTGAATTGCACAAAGGAGTGTGGCCAGCAAAGGGTGCTCCCCTGGCCACGTTATTAATGAACGCATTCATTGCAAACCCTTTTATGCTTACTTCAATTATCTGATCCTCAGCAGCATTAAAGCTTTAATGCTGAACACACAAAGGTCCCAGCTGGTGGATTCTCCCACATAGGAATCCACGCCTAATAACGAGGAGACCAAAATGTCCTGCCCTTTTGCACCTGCAACATCAAACACACCTCTTGCCCCTTGGCCCCCTGCTGTTGTCCCAGACCCCCAGCTTTTCCCAGCTTCATTTGGCCTGTCACCAAGTGTCCCTGCTGGCAGGCCAAGCCACCACCCTTGTTCTCCTGAATGTGTGGGGAGGAAGAGTCGAGGGGGGTAGCTGGTGCCTGGGGTGGGGCTTTCAGGCTGCCCAAGTGACAGGGGGCCACCAGGGCGGTGCTCCAACCCAGTCGGGGTGGTACTTCTGCCCCATGTCCAGAAGCAGCCTGGCTGACAGATCACCAGCGAGGAGGAGGACTTGGGAGGAAGGGGGGCTCCCCTCCTGCTCCCTCCTCCAGGGCTGTGACTCATCTGCTGGGCCCCCAGGGGAGAGAAAGGCGAGGCACAATGGGCAAGAGCCATCTTTGGTGCCGCAATGCAATGGCAGCGACATGGCTGGTAGCCCTGGAAGTAGCCTGTGGAGCGGATAAAATGGTACAGGAGTAGGTAAAATGCCATGCTCTTCCGGCACCCCCACCCCCACCCCGCATATCAGAAACTGCACAATGCCTGGCTGTACAAAACAAGAGTGAGCAGAAGCCGTGGGAAACCCATAGCACCCTCCTTGGAGACAGAAGCAGCAGCGAGAGCTGGCAGAACCTGGTTCTCTTTCCTGGTTTAAACTGAGCTGCTGTGCAGCCCAGGAGTGGCCCTCTCTGCAGATGGCCGTGGTCCTGTTTTTAAATAAATGCTCAATGCTTAAAAAGAGTCTAGCACTCTTTCAGGAGCGGGCTGAACCACGTATGTAAGGAGCCTGGTAACGCCTAACTGGCACCTTCCAAAGCATGGCTTGGGCATTATGAGGGGCAGCCGGGGGTCTGGTCTCCCCCACAGCCTGAGCCCCAGTGGCCACGGAGGACTGCGGCCAATGACGAGGAGGGGACGCGCGTGCAGCAGCCCAGGCTGGCCAGTAGGGGCTGGGCTGACCCCTCCGGTGAGGATGCTGGAAAACCACACTGTTGAAGATGCAAGCGAGTCTCTGTCCTTGGCGAGAAGCGGCACCCGCAGAAGAGAGAAAATGCTACTTTAAAACCAGAACCAAGTTGCCTCAGCAATGGCTGGGAAGAGATGAAGGCAATGCCAGGGGGGACACAGAAACAGCTTCCAGAGCGTCTCCACGCTGCAGATGGGTTGGGGGGATTCTTGCAGACAGAGACTCGGGGCCACAGCCCTGTCCCCTCACTGAACGCATGACTTGGTTGGTTTTCACCATGTTTAGGATTCTGGTGGACAGACTGCAGTATATGAATCCAGGCCATTTGGGTGGCTTGAGTGTGTCGTACCCAATGGAGACAGAAAAAGGGTTAATTCAGTGAAGTGTATTGTGCGAATGCCACCAAGCCCATTTGGTGTTTTCCTCCTTCGTGGGTATTTTGAGAAAAAAGTGACGGAAAACACAGGACACCCTCTAAGTTTCTGTGAATGGATCAGGAGGCCTGGTCTGCCTTGGGGGTGAAACGCACAGTGTCCCCCTTTGTGGTCCTCAGAAATGCTCCTGCCAACCAAATCGGACAAAAAACAAGCCCACCCGTGCTGTGGCTTTTGTGCATGAGAGGTGTGTGGTTGCGAGGCAGGATGATAGTGAACTTCCTGAGAAAAACCTATTGGTGTCCATTTTCTGGACAGAGAAAGGCGGCCTCACCCCACCCAGGTTCTTCCTCCAGCGTTGCACTGCTGACAGGAGCCAAGGGCACGTGCGGCATGAAGAGGCACGGGTTGCGGTCACGGGAGCGCTGGTGGAGGTCTGCGCCGCAGGGGTCGGCCAGCTCCTGCCTGGAGTACTGGTCCAGATCTGGTCCCCCCGAGGCAGGAAGGATGCTGAGCAGCCAGAAGGAGGGCAGAGAAGAGCAGCAAAGAAGGGGAGGGGCTGGGCGGCTCCGTGTTAGGGGGTGGTTAAAGGAACTGGGTGTGTTTAAGGTGAAAAAGAGAAGGCTGGGGGGAGACCGGATAGCAGACCCCCAATCCTTGAAGGACAGTCGGGGGGGAGGAGTGAATTCATCCTGCATGTACCCAAGGGCAGGACAAGGACCAGTGGGTGGAAACCTAAGAGATCAAAACTTGAAATAAGGAGGCATTTCTTGCCCGTGAGAGCTGTTAGGCGGCGGAACAACCTGCCTTCTGGTTGGGGTGGGGAGGGGGCTCCATCACTGGAGGTTTTCAAGAGAAGTTGGACAGCCATCTGTCTGGGAGGGTGTAGAGAGTAAAGAGGACAACCTGGAGGGAGAGACGGAAGATCCATTATCAAAGCAACAAGGAGGGACATGTTGCTTGAATCCAGGTGATGGGGGAGAATTGGAAAAACCTCTCAGATAGACACCCCCCCCAATCCCCATGAATATAAAAGGGGGAGGAGGGGAAGCACAGCCACACTCGCAAGATTGTGTTACGAGGCCCAGTCTAAAGAAAAGTGGTTTTTAGTCTTCCGCGGAGTCCGTTTCTCGGACTCGTCCACCCGGGAGGGCTGATAGAGGGCTTGGGGGGGTTGGGCTGGAGCCAGTCCTAGGGTCCTGTGATATTCTGGGGACGTCACCAGCTGTACAGTTAATTTGTCGTCACTTTTTCTTGCGAAGGGACTGGACCCTGTGAAGGCTGCTGCCCCAAGAAAGCGCTCTTGTGATTTTTGTAAGAACGAGACAGTTTCCTTTGGGGATCCGGGGGTATGGGATCAGGAGCCATCTGGACGGATGCCCACGGCCACTCCCTCGGGCACTCCAGGGTTCCATGTTTTCTACTTCCGCTCCAATATCATAGACCATCCTGGCTTGCAACCTTCCTCTTCTCTGGAAACACTCCTGGTTTTGCTGGTGTGTCTTGTTGCGTAGGCCAGTCCACGCGCCTTTGCTGGCTCTCCAAAATCGAAAACATCGCTTGGATGCCACCACTGGCCTTGACCAACTGAGGCTGGTTCCCCATCTCCGAAGAGGCCTTTGTCCTGGGCAGCAGCTGGGCAGTGGGAAAAGATCCTGTGGGGACCATCCCAGGTGAGGGGATCCTCTTGAAAAGTGGCTGGCCGGGGACGCCACGCAGAGGATGGCAGAGGTGAAGCCCCCACCCTCAGGGGCCAGGGAGAAGCTCCTTCCCAGGCTGGCGAACACGTCTTCCCAGCAAGATCGAGGTGGGAGGTCAGCCAGGAGGCGGGAGGAGCGCATCACCAGGAAGAACCGCGGGCCTGGCCTGCCCAGGGCAGTTTGCGGAAGCCCAAGGGCCCTCCAAAGGTCCAGCCCCCCGGACGCTGGGGGCAGGGCAAGCACCCTGTTAACACGGCAGATGCCCTGGACCAACAGAAGAGGGGCAAGGCAGCACCTTTCGGCCTCTCATCGCCTGGTCGGCACCTTCTACACCAGCCGGCCAGGCGGGGAAAGCTGAGCTCACCGAAGGGGCAGTTTTCGCGCACCTCTTGCCAAGCTCAACAAGCAAAAGCTGTCCAGGGGCAGACTCAGTAACACCATGAACGCATCAGCACAGCCTCACCGGGGAGACATGGTGAGTTTCAGGGGGTCCTGGAATCAAACTCCTTTGGTCTCCCCCCTTTGGAAAACTCCTCCAGCTCCTCTAGGGTTACCTGCCCCTTCCTCTACAAACTTAGGAATGAGGCTGAGGAGCACAGAGGACTGCAAGGATGCCCGGAGCTCCCCTGCTGTGACTCCACCACAGCCCCACCCATTCCCAGTCAGCTGGAGAGAGGCACCCACCTGGACGTGCCTCTGCTGAAGGGCATGGCTGCCTGTTTCTCTGGCCCATCCCTTGTAACAGTTCCGACTTTTGGGTTCTCAGGGGGCAGAGAGGAGCAGTCTCGAGGGCAGGTATTCATCGTGGTCCTGTACAGGCCACAGGACTACTGGGAGAAGCTGGCTTCGCCACTCAAGAGTTACCCCAACTCTACTTTTCCCACACAGCTGAGAAAGAGCCCCAAAGAGGGCAGAAAGGCACTTTTTCTCCCCTAATCTGCTGCCTCTTTTCAGAGATCAGCACCAAGAGCAGCGACTTGCCGGACCTGGGCACGGTGGCTGACCCCAGGAGGCAGGGAATATTTTAAACAAGCAGCAGCAATGGCTTCCACATTACACCAAAATATTTTTATTCTCTAATCGGTGCTGGACACGTTACCCTCCACCTCGCCGTCCATTTCAGTGCTTGCTGCCGGGGCGATGCTGGCGAGCCATGGAAGGCCTCTCTCTGGGAATCACAGCTTCGCGACTGGCAGTGGCTTGATCAGACAGCTCTCAATGTACTCAAAGATGGTGTACGGGTCTTGGTCTGCGTTGAGAAAAATTGAGCCCTCGTAGTGCTCCTCCAGGTCGGCCACCTGCTGGTTGCAGATGTCCATCTTCCTCTCCACTTGGCTGGGTGCGTCCTTGGGGTTCCGGCGCAGGCGCTGGTGCACTTCCTCATCCACAGGGGGCTTGTAGATGGTGTGGTACCTCTCCCCCGAGACAGGGTCTGTGGCACGCTGGCAGATGCGCTGCAAGGCGACCTCTGTGGGCAGGTTGAGGAAGAAGACCCGGTTGGGCTCAGTGCCAATCTGCTTGAAGAGTGATGCCTGGTCCACGTCCCGAGGGAAGCCGTGGAGCACCCAGCCGTAGGCCAGGCAGTCTTCCTGAGCCAGCCGATCCTTGAGGACGTGCAAGGCGAGGCTGTCGTTCACAGGGTAGCCTCTTTCAAAGAAGGGCTTGATGACGTTGCCCACGGCTGTGCCCCCAGCCACTTTCTCCCGCAGGAGGTCCCCAAAGAAAATGTTGACCACCCCATATTTCTGGGCCAGCAGAGCTGCCTGCAAACTTTTGCCACTGCCCGGGGGGCCCAGGAGCAAGATGCGGGGGGTGAAAGGGGCATTGGACCGTGGACGGCTCTGCACAAAATGTAGGGCTTGGGCAAAGACATCAGCGCAAGGTTGGTCAGCGTTGATAGCCTTGTAGTTGTTCTGGTACGTCTGGATAATGCCGGGGATGTGGCGGTGGCTCTCCAAAAGCCGCCGAGCAGTGGCTTGCTCTGAGATGTCTCCTGGCTTCACCAGGCGCTTCTGCACGGTGAAGTCTGCCGGCCAGTCGAACGTGGTGTGGTATACCTCCTGGGTGATGGGGTCCACAAGCTTTCCCAGGTTCCTCTCTATCAGCACCGTGTCTGGGGCATAAAGGACCACGAGATGCCGGGGGACAATGCCCAGAGTCTGGAGCTCCAGGGCCTGTGTCCTGGTCTGTGGGAAGCCATCCAGCACCCACCCATCCATCTCACAGTCCACACTGCGCAGGCGCTCCTGCAGGAGATAAGCCCACAGCTCATCGGGGATCTTCTCCCCATGTGTTTGATGGGCCATAGCCTCCTTGGCCCTCTTCAGCCGTTTGCTATGCACGAGCTGCTCGGGGCAAAGGTATATTGCACTGAGGTGCTTACAAATCCAGCGGGCAATGGTTGTCTTCCCAGAGGCTGGGGGTCCCACGATAAAGACCCTGGGCACCTCCTCATTGTCCTTCTTCAAGTGTTCTATCATGAAGTCAATGGGGTTGGCAGGCCGGGACATGAGGAGAGCTTCCATCAGGCTCTGCATGATCTGGAAGATGCTGTGTTTTTCAGCATAGACTCCCATCTCTGGGGGGATCTGGTGCGGCTTGCTGGTGGCATCCATCTCCGAATGCTGAAGGCTGCCCAGTAAAGCAGATTCTCAAACAGACTTCGCATTCCAAGGTTGCCAGGTGCTTCTGGCGATGGAATCAGCACACGGAACAGCCAGCCACAGTCTATCTGGTTGAGCCAGAGAACCCCCTATGGGAGAGCCCAGGGCACTCAAGGGAGATGCCTGCCTACTCCCTTGAATGTCACCCAAGAGATCAGAGCGAGGACGACTCTGCTCAGCCTCAGTTGTTCCTGTTGGCCTTGTCCCACCACATTTTTCACTTTTGCTTCACGGGCCTTAAGATGCCTCTGATCTCTCTGAGACACACAGGCAGACTTTCTGGCTGAAGCAAGGAGCTACACAGAAGCTCTCCTTCCCGGGAGCTGCTTGGAAGTGGCTTTGCCAATGGCTGGGGGAGTTCAGAGAAGATGCCCCTTGGAGCAGCCAAGCGGGCCTGCCATCATCCATCAGACTGCTCACAAGACAGCGCTTACCTGCAGTGACAGAGTTGCAGGTGGCACTGTGCCAGCTCTGGGCACCTAAGGTGGCACTGGTTGCCTGTTTTGAAGTTAATGTCCCTTGGCGCCCATCATCCAGGATGTGCAGGGCTGTTGTGGATATAAAGAGAAAGGCGGATGCTTGTCCTCCGCAGGTGTGGCGTGGAAGGGGATGTGTGCACACGTGTCTGTGTATGTCGCATGGCGCCTTGGGTCCTGCCTGCTTTTTCCTTGGACTGCCTTACCTTGGTAGGTTATGGGTTCTTATTGCCTTGGCATGTATTGTTCGCTGCCCAGAGTTACACACTTAAGATGGGCAGCGGTATCAACTTCCTAAACAAGCCAATAGGCATCAGTCTTCCTGGGCTCAGTTAGGGATTCTCTTAAGTTGCTCCCCCTCCCATGACGGAACCAGGGAGGGATGCTCAAGGGCAAAAGGGGCAAAGGAAGATGGCACTGGAAGGTCTCGCCCACTTGGCCTTCTTGCAGCCAGAGACGCTCTTGCTGATGCAGAAGACGGGCTTTGGATTGCGGCTCCAGCAGGCCAGGCCGGGCAGCCCCCTCCCCCCACCCCAGTTTGTATCCCTCCTTCTCTTCCCCGGCACGGACTCCCTGCTTTCATTCTCCCACAAGCACAACCCATGCCATTCTGGCTGTTGTTACGTGGAAGGGTTGGAATTCGGGGCATGAGCACACAGTCCGGAACCCTGAACCTTCGTCCCTTAGAATTCGGATCCTACATTCTGAAGCTTTGAAATGGGTTCTGCTCTCAACTGAAGCCTTCTAGAAATTCTGCTCTGCTTCAGACATTCCTCCATAGGAAATTCCTGCATGGCGAGCATTACGTAGGTGCAAAGCAACTGAGTGGGGGCGGGGGGGGCAAGGTGCAATTGCTTTGCCACAAGAAATCTCAGCAAAATCCACTTCTAACGGCTGTTGGAAATGTGGAGGGCATGAAGGGACATTTTACCATGTACATGGTGGACTTGTGAAAAAGCAAAAAAACATTGGATGCAAATACACGTGATGATGCAGAGAGTATTAAAAGTCAACATTCAGATAAAACCAGAATTTTTCTTACTAGGACTTACAGACATTCAATCAGAAAAGATCCTGGACGGTTGGTTTTATATAATGGTAACCACAGCCAGGTTATTATATGCATGAAGGTGGAAAGATTTGGCACTTCCCACAATGGAGAAATGGATCGTGAAGACGGTGGAACTTGCAGAAATGGCTAAATTGACTCTTTTGTTTAGGGAGGGAAGAACAACTACTTTTACAACAGACTGGAAACACTTTATGGACTTTTTGCTGAAAATGGATAAAAACGAACTGGTGATTTGTGGAATTACTGATTAATAAGGGGGGAATATGGGGAGAAGGGGACCACATTAAGTAATTTAGAAGGGGGGAAACAGTTTCAAGTATGTCTATAACTGCCACAAAGAAGATTGGAAGTCACTTCTTTAATTTTTTTTTTCTCTTCGCTTTCTATTGTTTTCAACACTTTTCCCTTTTTCTTTCCTTTTTTCTTCCTTTTTTCTATATTATTTCATGTTTATCTTTTAACTTTGTAAAAAAGTCCTTCATTAAAATTATAAAAAAATAAAAAGAAATCTCAGCAAAGCCCGAGGGCTGTTAATAGTCACTGTTCGACCACCTTCCTTGAGAAACCTCCCTGCCAGTCAAGCAGACCGAGCTGCAACAAGTAGTCCAAAAGCTTTATTTCCAGACCAAGGAAGATTTCCAGGCAAGACCTGGAGGAAGAAGGGGAGTCACCAGATGCCCTCTGGCGGGGCCCCAGGGGCCCCATGGCAGCTCCCCCATCAGAATCCAGAGAAATCAATCTTCCCGGAGGAGACCCACGTCACCGCCCACCCGCCCGCCCATCTTGCTGCTGCATTCCTAGCGAGCTTCCTGGACCGCCTGGGCAGCCCTCCACGGCAGCCCCCCCAGGGGCTTCTTCCTTGGCTGACGGGGGAAGGCAGCGGGGGAAGACTGACGCCCAGTGCAAGCCCCACAAAAGGAAGGGGGGCCTAGGGCAGGCCTGGCCTCCCCAGTTATACTCTTACCTGGCCCCAGGGTCCATTCGGCAGTGGGGTGGGGGTCGCCAGATTCTTCCTCGGGGCCGCCTGTGACATTCCACTCCGGGGGCTTCCACGGCTCTGGAGGCAGCGTGAATCCAAAGAGACCTGCCAAAGGACCAGACTGTGGAAAGGGGCCAGCAGGGCAGCTTGGGGCCCCAGCCCTTGTTCCCTTTCTCTTCTGCCTCTCCAGCCACAGGCATGGTGCCCCAGGGCATGGGCGGTGGGGCTGAGCCATTCCTGCACCGACCCCTCACTGGCTTCACCCTGCAGAGGTGGGATGCTGGATCTCCCCACTGCCTGCTCGTGGGGGCTTGGTGTCGCTCCCTTTCCTGTCCTCATCAGAACACGCATTTGCGCAGCATCCCCCCCCGCCCTTCACCTCCCCAACTCTCCCAAGGTCTTCAGCAATACTCACCAGTGGCTCCCCCTTGGCTGGCAATCCCCACGAGGAGGCCGGGCAGGTGTGGGTCCTGCAGAACAGGGTAGTGACTGCTGCTGCCGCCGCCGCCACCAAGAACTGAGCCCCGCTCTTGGCCAAGCCCAGCGGTCAGGCCGATGTCCACCTGGAACTCGAGTTCGCGGCTGTGCTCCCGTGGCTGGACGGGGTGAGCTGAGGCCCAGAGGGCAGGAGGGGCACGTGCCGAGGAAGAACCATTGCTCGCCTGGGTGGTGGGACCAGGGGTGTGCTTCTCAGCTGGGCTGGTGCCCGGCCCCATGGAGCCTCCCGGGCCCTCTGCTTGGGACTGGGCAGGGGTGGGCGGCAGGCTGGGGGGCAGAGCGGGCCTGCTGGCTGGTCTCCCTGGCCCTTTGTGAGGCGGCCCCTTCCCCTGGCTCCGCACCTTCACCTGGAAGTTGAGCCCCAGGTTCAGCAGCAAGGCGGGGGCTTCGGTGTGTGTGGGCAGCAGGGTGGGGGTCACAGGAGGGGTCTGCAGCTCCAGGTTGGATTCATTCCGGGCAGGGGGCAGGGACATCCCAGACCCTGGCGGGAGCAGGCACAGCAGCACCAGGAGTTCCCACATTGGCCTCTGTCTGACGTCTCACGCTGGCAGGAAGGACCTGGGAAGGGAAGGGAAGAGCATCAGGCAGGAGCTGGTGCCGAGGGCCAGAGAGGGTGAGTGGAAGAGAAGGGAGGCCAGTCGCGGTGCTGGCCGTCTCATGTTCTCCTCCCTTCCAGCTCCCAACTGAGTCTGGAACCAGTCCAGCCCAGCCCAGCCCAGCCCTTCTCTGGGGAGAGCAAGGAGACCCACAGGATCTGCTCCTCTTGACCCACATGCATGTCAAAGCCAGAAGTAGCCTCAGGCATTACCTGAACCCGTGGGGGGGAACTGGTTCTTTCCTTCCCCATGGATTCATTCTACCCAGACCAGGATGTCAGAGAAACTCCATGTTTTGAACCTGGAAAGAGTCCAGCCCCACCCCCCCAACATCTTCAGAGCGAGAATTGTCCCAAGGGCCACAGCAAGGGAGGAAAGAGTGGAATCCTCTCCTGACCTGCTCCCCCCCCCATTCGCACACTGTTAAAAACACGCAGACCAAATGCAAAACCAGCCGAGCCCGGACGAGATGAAATAGCAAAAGTTAGCTCTGTCAGCACAATGGGAACCTCCAGAACTGACCCATCTCCCGGGGCTTCCCCGAGGAAGGATGGAGGAGCCCCTCTGGCAGCCGTCACTGCAAGGCCTCCTTCCCTCCGCCAGCCACGGGAAAGGAAGGCTGCCCCGGGCCGGGCAGCCGGAGAGCTGCATCTTCTTCCCCAGCGGAGGATCAGGCCCGGGGCACCAGGCCGCTGGGCAACCTGAACAAACGAGCGATGCAAGAGGAATAAAACCCAGGACAAGAATCGGGGCTGCGGAAGGGCAGGCGCAAGACCGCAGCAGGCGTACAGGTGCGTCACTGGTCTGACGTGCTCCTGCACCAAGAATAAACGTGTAGGCAACCCAGGGCCTCTGCACACATCGCAACACACGCAACATGGGAGCTGCTTCCAGGTCAAAACCGAGGACACTTATGTCTGACCCGTATCCTACAGAAGCAGCAGCAAGGCAGACTTTCCATCTTCCAATTTCTGGCATTCGTAACAAAACGCACACCTACCACCTGAAGCACCTGAAACGTGGACATTTTGGCCTGAGAGGACCAGAATCGCCCTCCGCCACGGCTGCTCTTGCACGCCGGTATCCGACTCTACAAGAGGACCAGCGAAGGCCCCTCTCGCTCCTGGATGCTCGGGGCCACTGTGGGAGGAAGAGTCCACTCGAAGCAAGGCGCTCTCAGCCGGCCAGAGATTGCCTTCTGCTTCTAGGGCACGGGGCTCTTTTGGCAGGCCCCCAGCGCCACCCTGCCTCCCCCAGCACTGGAGGACCAAGGTGAGCAGTCAAAGTAGATCCTGCAAGCCCAAGGGGGATGGATGGGGCCCGTGTGGGAA